AGTCCAGTGCTGAAATTTTATATCTCACAGGAAATTGCTGTTTTCAAGATATAATGAAAGAGATGAGGGAGAAATGTCTGATCCCTGCATCATTCTTCACACGCTTTTTTACTCTTGCTGAGCACATGCTTCAGTTCAGTGTTCACTGTGCCTGGAGCATAACCGGAGTGTCTTCCCACCTGTGAATTGGGGCTTTGAAATGCTGTCCAGTTTCTTCTTATTACCTGAAGTGCAAACTGTGCACTGCTCCTTGAAAAAGCTCTGCTGTGAGAAAGTTCTATCAGTTGAGTCACCATCCCTGGAGGTATTTAAAATACCTTTTTTTTTTTTTTTAAGATGTGGCACCTGGGGACATGGTTTAATGCTGAACTTGGCAGTGCTGGATTAGTGTTAGGCCTTGATGATCTTACACATCTGTTTCAGCCTGAATAGTTATGTGATTCTATCAGTACAATAGGCTGTTAAAAAATAAAAATGCAAAAAAAATAGTGTGAAAGTTTCAAGACTTCTTGTTAAAATTTCTACACATAGTTTTCAGATAATCTTCAGGAAGTGAAGGCATCTTCCTTATTCTGGGCTGTTCCATTTTATGCTACGCCTGTAATCTCAAATACGTTCTTGACAAGATAACAGTTACTGCAAGTGACAAGCCCATGTGTTCTGGGTGAATCTAGTACCCTAGCAAGTGTGCAGTTTGTAGATCTTTCTCCATGCATCTTAGAAGGCTAAAGAAGCTACTATCTGAAATGTTTTTTTTTATCTTAGTTAGGGAAAGTGTCAGTTTTGAGTTACACAAGTTCTCTTGAAACAGCCTTCAGCTGTGTCCAGCAGTGTCAGGCCCCAGCTGCCCAAGTCCCAGCTTCCTTTAGCCCTTGGTCTCTGTGCACAAGAACAGGCTTCACTAAAGTGGGGCAATTTCGGGAGAAAGTTTTCATTCTCAGGAGAGGGAGTTGCTACAGTTGAAGAAGGAGCAATCCAGGTAATTTTCAGGCCCTTTGGAGGGATACAGCCTTATTTTATTATTGTAATAAAGCTAGTAACTGCTCTAGTGCTGAAAGCCATACTTACTTTGATACAGGTGCTTGTTACAGTATTGCTCATTTCCCTTCTCTTTCCTCTGAAAGTGTGATAGGATTTATTCTACCTTTTTCCCCTAGCTTGTGCATTTGAAATTAGGAAAACTTTTCACAAGGTCTGTGGCAGGGTTACTAGAGCATCCTGTGTTTCTTTAGCAAAACCCTTCTTCCCATAATTGAGTTTCAGAAATAAATTAAAGATTAGTATAATACTGAATCAATTTTTCAAAGGGGATCACAGTTTTTGTTACTAGCATCATGAATTTTATATTCATAACTGTTTGGTATACATCCCAATTTTACCAGAACTTTGGGTCATTATCAGTGTAGAAGATAGAAGTGGTATATCTGTTTTACTGAGACTTCACCATATTTTTCAGGAGAAGTAACTGGAACTTCCAGGGCATGGATTCCCACAGTTTAATGTCATTAGTTAGTGAAGCAGCAGTCTTATTTGTCCTCTTTATCACTAACTATGGAAACTTAATAGGATTTGCCAGAAAGCCTTTTGGGGAAAACTAGGTAAAATTTAGGGAGTCTTCTGTTAAGAAAATTAATACTTTGCTCTTTGCTTTATGATTTTGATCACTTTCAGTGAATGACAATCATCTTTCAAGGTGTCATAACAGACATACCCATCTTAAAGTGGGTAGAGCAAGGGAGCAATCACAGAAGGGTCTGTTCCAATAAATCCTGGGTTTGAGAGTTGAATACATGTCACCCTATCCACTTTTGGTAGCTGCTGCTAGTGATATGATGAGGCAGCAAAAGCAGCTCACAAAAAGTGCCTAAACAGTAACTTGTATAATTATGAGATTTATTAACAATAGGTATACAACTAAAAATGCAAAGGTATTTTGGCTATTATTTAAATACAGGAAATTATTGTCTCCAGAATAAAGCAAGCTAGAATTAGAGTAGTTTGTGAAGAACAGCTCAGTGGATGTAGCAGACCCAGGATCCCACCAACTGTGGAGATCCTGGTAAAAGAACGACTATTATCCTTGTTTTCTTTGCAAAGTCCTGTTCGCTTTTCAAGCAAGACAAATGATTTTGTTGAAAGATGATAAAACCCATGCATTTTTTGAGATAAAGTTCATTCTTCAGAGAAGAGGAAGATTATGTTGCTATTCTTGAAAAGACATACTTTTTCAGTATATCAGCTTAGCATTGTGAGTAAGATGGGGTTTTTTTCAATCTGACTAGTGGTAGGTGAATGCTTAGTTTAAGTATAAATGAAGTGCAGTAGTGCATTCAGGACCTATTTTGATGTGCTGTGTCCCTGCAGCACTTGCCCACTATCACTGCACCTGGCCATATGGCTTTAACAGAGACTGAACATAGTTCAGTCATCTCTCTGAATGCTCAGGATCAGATGTGGAGATGGGTAATATATGAAAAAGCGTATTACTGAAAATTGTCCCAATATGGGAGACTATTTTACAACATATGAGAAAAAAAAATGAACAGATGGTTATTAATAACGGGAGGGTCGGCTTCTGGATGAAATATCTGGTGTTGTTAATTTAGTTAAATTTAGTAAACAAAAAGTAGATTGATTAAGTAGGATTTCCATTTTCAAAATAAATGGAGAGAGCTAATCAGTGAAATCAACTGGACTGAGTGATTTTAGACTAAGATGTAGTAGAGGTTTGGGATTTATTTTAGACAAAGATACAAAAGTTAATAAAACACCCTGCATTCCAAATTAGATGAGAAAATAAACACTTGGAAGTTCTATGCCAAAGTGAATGATTAAGTATGATTAAGTATTTTTTAAGGAATATCTGGAATAAGCAAAGATGCTCAAAAAAACAGAAAAACAGCTTGATCTGCAAAGAAGGCCACATCCTGGATATCAGAAAGTGTGGTCTTATAGCAACAATCAGCAAAAATTAAGTTGAATCAGATCATAAGATGAGAATTTAAATACACAGGAAAATATTACTTGACTATGTAAAGAAGCTTGCTAAGAAAGAAAACTAGGAACCATTCTGCAGTGTGAATGGACAAATGATGCAGCTGGATAAATGTAATCCAGCTCTGGTCTGAAAAAGAAAACATTCAATTTTCAGTAAAAATAGAATTTCAGGCATAGGCCTGAAAATAAATCAATAAAATAGATGGGAGTATTGAGTAGATACTGTAAATTAGCAGAGCTAATAATCTGACTTGCAGACTTCAAGAATATTGACAAATGCTGCTGCATGGAACAATTTTTAGTACCTTAGTTCATGGCTGATGAATGGAAATGTCGTACCTGTACGTAGATTAACAGGGGAAAGAAAAGTGATAGCAAAGCACCTGCATGGGCTGACCATTATCTGTGCAGGGCTTTAAAAAAGTTTTTAAGAAAGAAGTAACAGAGGAAAGCAAAGCAAATGGCATAACTTTTATTGCAGGTTTTTTTGTTAAATGGGACATTGTGGCCAGCTAACCTGCTCGCTTTTCAAAATACACGTTCAGGAAATACATTCGGTCTGTTTGGAGCTTAGTAAACCATCTGATGCAGTGCCACAGGAGATGCTGTGAAATAGAAAGGATGGGGATTACTGAAGTATAGTAATTCTAAGATGAATAGAGAAATGCAAATTTTAAAGAAAGAATTCCTTTTTGTGAAGCTTGGCGTTGAACCAGTCTTGTCGTATATTTTCATTAATTGTTTTGCCACAGAATGAGAGCTGATAGACTTTTATTAAGTAAAATTATTGGAAAGTAATATCTAGTGCTAGTACAAACAGAGTATTCAGGCAGGATTGGTCCTTTCTGAAGGAAAGAGGACTGCAAATAGCATGACATTGTATGAACTACAGTATTGCACTAGAAAGATTTCTTAGTGTAAACTGAAAACTTTTTTTCATGAATAAAAAATGGAGAATTAATGTGCAGGCATGTTTGGTTAAGGATGGCTGTGAAACTGCAAGATGGAGTGGCATGAATGTCATCTGTATTGAGCAAGATTTGTTTGATAGAAAAGAAAACCACTGTCCAAATTATCAACTCTGAACTTTTAGTATGCTACCTACAACTCCTGTTCCTCCTTTCCATGTATAAGAAGGACTAAGTTAAAGAAAATGGGGAATATGACGCCTAATTTATAAAAATGACTGCAAGAACTTGATTTCAGTCAGCAGAACAGAGAACAGAGTTGTGCAGTGCTACCTGTAAATTAACTAAGGAGGCACACAGGGACATTGAAGAATTATCAAGCTAAATGACAGTGCAAGAATAAACAATATAAAACAGGACAAGAATAAATTTGCTTTGAAAAATGCATGACTCCTGGCTTTTAGCAATCTTTCAACAGATGTAGTTATAGAAGGAAAATTTCCTTGTAATCCTTGATTTCTAGCACATCACTGCTCCATGTATCAGCAGCCCACAGTATGTAAAATAAGGTGTTTGGCAGACATCTTAATAGGTACTTTCATGGAAGCTTTGAACTTGTGCTGTGACCAAAGGGAAAAAAAAAAAAAAAAAAAAAAAACAAAAAAAAACACCAAAAAAACTGATATCACAAAAGTCAGCTCAGAATTTTTCACAAAGCAGATGAACTTTTAGATTTTTTTTTTACTTGATGTTGGTAAAATCAAGCTCATCTACTATTATGGTGTACTTCTGTAACTCTATACTAGTTAAATTGTGTTTAATAGTTTAAGAAGAACCTCAATCAAAACTTTTTTAAGTCATATTAAGTATCAGATTTTCAGAACTTTCAGACTCTAATTTGAACTTGGAGGCTAGTTAAGATGGCTGTAAGAATTTGGAGAGACAAAGTTGAGATTTGTCTGTGTAAGCTTTATGTGAGTTTTGTTGTGACTGAAGTTACCATATGTGGTCAAATCAGTTGTAGTTGTCATCCATAATGTGCTCATATCAAAGTTCGTCTTACAACAAAGGTGTTTTCTCTTATTTTTGTATTAGGAGGATCAAATGAAAATGGAAGCACACCCCCCACCTCAGATTCAGATGGAACTTTTATGTCTTACAGGTTGGTAATTTTTTATATTTATTTTCTGATTTTAAGAAGGTTGATTACAAGAAGCATATAATCTATTTAAAGCAAAGGAACAGGTTGTATACTTTAGAAGGATTGTAGAATCTAAACTGGAACAGTAACAAAAGAACATTAAGTATTTATTTAAGAAATTATCTAAAAATTTGTTTTCTGGGTTATTGGGTTTTTTTCAAAAGTTGTTCAAAATGCTTAACTGATGAAAGTACAAGATATTTGAAAGCCTAAACATTTTTAAGGTTGTTTTTTGTGGGTTTTTTCCTCCAAAGTATTCAATTAAAGAAACTCACAGCAACTAAGCTAAATGTTGAAATATTCAACTCACCAGTGATCACCTTTCTGATCTTCTCCAAAGTAACTGGATTTCCTCATTATTTCATGTCAAAAACCAAGCCAAGATTAGTTAAATTTGAGATTATTTGACAGGAAAATAATATTCAGTTTTGTTGGCTGTAAACACCAGTTAAAGAAATTTTTTTCAGCAATGTCATTGAGTTTGAATCTTGCTTGGGTACATACCAGAGGGTGTCTTGTACTTGAAAGCACAGAAAGTTAATCAGCTGGTGTGCACTTTCATCTTCCACCCTGCAAAATACTGACTCTGCTACAAAAAATCATTTTCCTTGTGACTAGTAAATTAATAGTATGATGTGTGCTAACCAGAAGGATTGCATCTGATTTTCATATTTAAGTATGGTTAAACAAAACACGCTTACCACATGATTATTTTCAAATAATTTAGTGGACTGTGTTGGTTGGCATTTTTTTTTCGGTTTTGGTTTGTGCTCTGCTGGAATATCTGCTTCAAAGAGGTGCAGTCAGGCAGGAGGAACCTGCCTGTTGGGCTTGTCCTGCTTGCAGCCGGCTGGGTGGGGAATGTTGTGCCGTGGTGCAGGGAATGAGCTGTGCTGGTCACGGGGAGACTCAGGTGTGGGGTGCCAGGGAGGGACACAGTGCTGGAGAACCTGTTGCAAGCTGGAGACAGAGCCATTGCCAAGGAGAGCAAGGAGCAAACAGCTTGGTCTGGAGCATGTTGAAAAGAAAGACTTTTTGTAAGGACCTAGAGGGAACAGCAAAGAGTTTCCTGCGATTCAAACACCCAGAGGAAGTTTCTGGACTAAGAGCAAGGTTGGAACAAAGGGTGTGCCTGCAGGGACAAAGTGGGACTGGGGTGGGTTGATTTAGGTATCCTTACAATTTTCTTTATCCTAATAGGCTGACTCTAATGAGACCTACTTTGTGATGATGTAAAACTCTTTTATGGTAGTTAGCATAGCCACTTTGATAAAACATGTTAGAAGATCCATTTGAGAGTTCTGCATTACTCTGTTTCTTGTCATATTTGTGTTTTCTGCATGCAACATACTGTCTAAGTTAAAAGAAGGGCCAAAAAATACCAGCCAGGATAATCTTCATGTTTTTCAGGTGAGAAGCATGTGTAGATAGAGAGACCACAAATCAGTCTCTCAAAAATAGGCAAGATACAATTTAACTAGATCAGCAAAAGAAAGCTGAGAGTGCTCTCTGCCATTAAAGCCAGGAAACTTATTCCTGAAAATTGTCAACTCAAGAGCACCAGCTGTTGTACCTGCCAAGTGGCAACACTTGAAGAAGAAGCAGCCAGCTTTAGCTAGACTTTGGGTCCATGAGAGTGCGAGCTGTGGAGCTGGAGTCTGAGCCCTTCTTGTCAGCCCTGCTCCACTCAGGCAGTAGCACTTAGCTCTCAGGGAGCTATCCAGGGAGCTAACCCAGCCCAACCTGTTCATTCTTTCTTGGGAGAGCTTTCTGATTACTTCCTCCTGCCAAAGCTTCCCATGGTATCAGTGCCAATGCAGGGAATGTAACTAGCATGGACTGCCATTGGGAGGACAGAGCCTGGTACCTTTTACCTAAATCAGCCTAAAGCTTAGTGACTCTTTAATGCTCCACAGATTAAGTGGAGGTTAAAGCTGGTCTTTGTATCTACGTATTCCTTAGTACAAAATGCATATAATAAATACGATGTTGGCTACAAGTTCTACTGAATGATGCTCATATTCTGTCAAAGAGCCCAACTTAAGAAACTGAAGTTAGTCTTTTAGAGGGGTCCCATGTCTCATTGCTAACATATTATTGATATAACAAAGGCAAAATAGTAAAAAAGATATATGTGTGTATGTGTATTGGGGAGGTGTGTATGTATACAAATATATAAAAGTAACTTCTGGCTTTTCATAATTGGCAAGCTATCACTGTTATTTAGTAGTAGTGCTTGAGATGTAAAATGTGTATTTGTTTCTCAGTGGCAAATTATTCCTATGATCTAGTGAGACTGGCTGTAAATTTGATGGCTGGGTTGGATATTGTTTGGATAGTTATAGTTCTGGACTGCATGTTAAGTAAAATTGAACATGTAAGACCTTATGAAAGACAAAAAGTGAATCCTAAACTATCTTGAAAAGTAATGATGGTAAATGGTTGTTATTTATTTAAGGACTCATTAGAAATTTTGACCTACTTTAGGATAGTGTCAAGGATTATTGTTTTAGTAAGTTAGTAATTTGGTAAAACTAATGATGGTCTTGTTTACCCAATGCATTTCAGTCTATCATATTTTAAAAGGACCAGCTAATGAACTTTTGCCCTAAAAGAGGCAACGACATCTTTGAATCATGGTAGATGTCATACATATGCAGAAGGTTAATACATGAAAAATCGTATTGAAAATTTTTGCTGAAGCCAAAGTTGCTTAATATTTTGTCAGTAATAGGACTTTAAAATTTCATTAGAAGAGATTACTCCAAAAATATTTGACTATTAATAAGTTTTGCTATTAAAATGCTCTTAAAAACATTGTTTTTCAATAAAAAATAAACTCCAGGAGAAGTTACTTGAGTCCTACATTTCCTGTTTAAAGGACAATTTGACACTATGCAGTACAAGACTCCCAAGTGTATGTGTTAATAAAGGATGACCTATCACTATATTCTTTGATATATTTATGATGCTCCAGAACTATTTGTATGGTTTTATGTTTAATATGAAGGTGTCACCTTAGAGTTTGTGACTCTTGCTTGTGTTGATCACAGCACAGATATAATGCTGCATGAGTTCAGATAGTGAACACATAGGTCATAAAATTTGTAAGTAATGTAAGTGAAAAGCACATGTGACTGGCATATATTTATAAATATTCTTTGAGTTCATGAATGCGTCCTGTCAAGTCACAGAGAATTCTCTAGCTTAGGTCTTTATGTTCTGATGGAAGTACTCTTTGTGTTCTTGGGAAGGAGCTTTACTACTAAGAAATTACGAAAATTATTTCCTAGAAGCATGTCATCAAAATTAGAAGTTCATTATTGGAAACATTTGAACAAGGATTTAGACATATAATAAATTTCAGCTTTTAAATGTTAGAAACTTCAGGAAAATACTTCAGTTTTGCTCTAATGTGTTACTTTACTGCTATGGTTAAAGCCATTTTTGGATGTCCAGATGGGCTGGACCTCACCGAAAGGAAAAGGAAAATAGATGTGGGTCTTTAGTTTCAGTATCTGCAATGCAGTGCCACTGGAAAGTAGAAATACTGTCTTTCTCCTCCCTTCCCAAGGGCAGCTGACCTTCTCCTCGCCAAAGAGGTGAACCCCTTGCCAGCACATATGACTACAGACTATTACATTAATCTGTTTAGCCTCAGTACCAGCTGCTTGCATGTTTTTAATTATCTTATTAGATGGTATAACAGTGACCTATGAAATAAAATGAAGGTGAGTATTTTTTAACTTTATTTTACAGGCTATTTTTCTAAATATATTTTAATGACCTAATTATGACTTTTAGGGAGAGCCATTGATGCAGACATTCAATTTGGCTGATAGAATCTAACATCTCAAGGACACTTATTTTCTTTCAAGGTGCATTCATACATTAATACTGCTTGTAATAAATATATAGGCTAAAAAAGCTCACTTTTCATACTTGTGTATGAACTTTGTGATTCAGAGACCCATGACTGCTATGTTAGATAATTTCTTAATACATGTCTGCACATATATGTAAGTTTAATTCTTACCCCATGTATCAAGATAAAGTCCTTTCCTCTGTGACTTAAATTCCATGACAAATTATCATTGCTCAAAGCACAAGGTTATGTAGACAAGGTGTATTCCTTCTTCTGCTCATATTTCAAACAGGCAGATGATCTAGTCTAAGAAAGACTTTTGTATTCCATTTTCTCCCCGACTTCTTACAGATTCTGCTTACCAGATGTTTCCTTCCTTGAAAGGAAAAAAAAGGCAATGTCGTCCTGCTGGCTGAGGCGTTTCTTGTGTGCCAGCCAACTGCAGGCACTGAGCATACAGAAGAAAGACAGCAAGGGGTGCAAGCTGTTCCTCCTTGGTTCTTCCCGCTTCCAAAAGTGGTGCTGAAACCACTGGGGTTGCTCTTTGACTTTTTTTGGCAGTTGAGCCAGAAGTGGCTACATAGCCTCTGTCTTTACATGTTAAACATACTGTGAAGATGTGTGCAACTCACATACCTCCACCTCCTAAACTTTGTCTTAGTCTATTAGGAAGCAGCCCTTTTCCATCTACACAAGCCTATCTAGTCTTGTTCACAGACAATGTTACTTTATTGTTTTAATTTAAAGCAACTCCTGTGCAATTGTGGTCTATTTTCCTGTTCACTGTATGTCCACACATAATCAAGAGATGTAAAGAACAAGCTTGTTTCTGTGGGTTTTTCATTTATCTTGAAATAAGAAAAATTGGGCACAGAAGGCAATGCAGTGAAATTGTCACTGCCACTTCACTCCACAAGGAGACTTCACACCGCTTGCATCCATTCTTTCTTTCCACAAAAAAGTAGTAAAACTGGCATCCATGTTTATTTTGTCTTGTCCTAAACCATTTGCCAGACACTGTTCGAGTTTAAGCCATTTATGTGCAAAGAGGCCTTTTCAGTGCAAGTTAATTTTGTCTGGGAGCATGTAAACTCTC